GGCCATCACGCCTGGCCAGGGCGAAATCTCGGTCTATCGAATTTCAAACGCGATCGTAAAAATGCAGTGGCGTCTGGGAGGTCTTCGATCGAGGCCAGGGTAGTGCCTCGCGGAGGATGCGTCAGACAGGATCGCGGCGAGCGCGAGGGTGGAAAGTCCGTTTCCAGGAGAGACGGTGGTGTTAATTGATGTAGCTTTCGCAGCATGCGTGGAAGACGCGGGTCGAGTCGTCGCTTCGTTGTGTTCGGACAACATTTTTCACAGAGTTCTCTCTCTCTCTCTCTCTCTCCGGCGAGAGAGATTTGCGGCCGCGAATATCGCGGCTCTCGCGCAGCTATTCAATTAGCGCGCTCTTTCCGCTTTTTTCTTCCCGATTTATCGAGCCACCGGTAATAACAGCAAAGTTCAGTCCCTTTGTGCGCGTGTGCGTTGCGTTAATAACGATCGTTTGTTTAGAGATAACAATTGTTCCCTCTCGCTCCGGTGGATTCGATTTCCAAATGCGCGCGTCAAAGGGTCAAAAGGATTAATACATGCAATTTTCAAGAGAGCTCGCGCGCCGTTTACGCGGACCGAAGAATGACGGTGAGGAGCCGCATTGGCGCGGCTCTTCCGGCTGCTGCTGGAAGAACGATAGTAACAACGACGACGACGACGACGACGACGACGACGACGACGACAACAACAACTAGCAGCAGCAGCAGCAGAACGTAGCCGGAGACCGCATTGTGCCGGTCGATGATAAAAGCCGTCGCATCGCGTTGCGGCGTTGCGTACCTCTATCTATCTATCTATCCCGCCTACCCAGCGGCAGAGAGATCGGGAAAGAAATGCGGAGGAGACTGGCAGAGGGAGACAGCGAAAGGGATGACGAACGGGGTAGCGAGAGAGATCGGGTTCGCGAGATAAAGAGGTCGACAATAATGCGCCGCCGGTGCACCCTCGGTCCCGTGGCAGCCTCGGTCGCAGCAGGCAGCCATTATATTGTTTTACCTCTGTGTCGCGACCGGAGATCGGCGAATACGCCGCGGCGGGCTCAATGTACACGGGTCTTCGATGAGCAGACGTAGAAAACCCGGAAGGAGGCACTCGCAAGGGAGACACCGCGACTCGGCGGTCTTCTCGAGCGCGAGGGTGTTCTTGATGAAAGCGCGTTGTTAATCCACCGCGATCGCGAAGTGGAGTAACCGAATGCCGCGCGAGGTGCCTTCGGATTCACCAAGTCACCCTATCTGTCAGTTGAGGACACGAGTAGCGTCGGAATTGGGCTTATTAGAATGTTCGGATCGAATGGGAGAGAATTAGGAAAATTATCGGGATCGGAGGTAGCTAAAGATCAATGAAATTATGAAGTATCTTCTCGTTTTACATAAAGATCGTTTATGAATCCTTGGAACCGAAAGGATCCAACGAGTCGCGAACCGACCACACGAGGAGGACCAACGGTAACGTCACGTCGCTGGCGAAAACTGTCGCTCTCACCCTCTCGGCGAAGCGCTTCGCCGATAACGCACCCATGTAGGCACACACGACGCGCGTATCGGTGTTGCACGGAGATCGCGAAGACGCATTCGCGAGATGCCGCGTCTCCTCCGCGGCGCGACGCCCATTTCCGAGGTCCGGAGGTGAAAAAACAATGCTGCAACGACGACCCAAACCCCCTTCGCGTCGATCACGACGGAGACTCTTTCCGTGCTCCCGTCTGTTCCACCTCTCGTCTGTCTTTGTCCCATCTCCCCGGCTGCTTTTTCTCTTCTTCTTCTTCTTCTTCTTCTTTTTCTTCTGCTCGCTCCTCCTAGTTTCGTCACCCTCCCCCTTATCTGCCTGTTTCGTGCTCGCCACCCTCTGACTGAAATTCTTCTGCATGCCTCTACGTCGTCTCGTCTCGCGCGCACAACGCGGCACAATGCAACCCCGGGGTGCATTGTGGATCAGTCTCACCAGACACCCCAGCGACGTCGTCGACACAACAAGAGGACTATGTCGTGCGCAATGATACCTAAGCTAACCGACGACATTTCGGGGGATGTTCCAACGCGCCGCGTCGCGAGGATTGCGACAGCGCGCCGATATCGTCATTCATCTGATCGTCCCGTCGATATCGGAGATGATATCGGAGAAGCGGGCCGATCCATTACGAAAATGAAGACTGAACACTTTCATAGTGAAGAATGTCTTAAGAGACCACACGAACTGACTGTTGCGATTCAATTCAAGTGAATTCGCAGCAAGCCAATCGGTTAAGCTTTGCCCGCTCGAACTTGATTCTCGTCTGCAGAAATCCGTGTAATTTTAAGCTTATTGTCATAAATCTTGTCTCCAATGACAAAATTGTTCTGAATCTCGCACGATTCTGAAACGAGCACGATTCTTGCTCTCTCTCTCTCTCTCTCTCTCTCTCTCAGGGTGTCGCAACTGTTTCGAGAAAAATTTGTTCTACTGCTCTATTTTCCGCAACGCGTCGACGCAGAGACGCAAGAAGCGAGGAGAGGAGCGGCGACAGCGACGGCGGCGCTTTTTGCCGCCGGTGACAAAAGTGTAGAAATATAAGAAAAGGAAAAGTACATCCGTACCCTCGCTCCGGCGGCTCTCTTTATCGCGAACTCTTTATAGAAAGCGCGAAGAAAGTGTGATAAACGACGACGTACTATCCTCCTCCCTCTACCCTCGACATAAAGCTATCGACATTATCCGGAGAACCGTGGGACGCTGAAGACTTACATAAATAACTCCCTTTGAGGAGCGCGTGTACGTAAGGGAATGCCTAGAACATGACGAAGCGCCGACGAAGCGGCGAAGGGTCGGCGCTTTTAACACGCGTTGCGGACAATCAGTTAATTAAGGCGTCGCCAGACTCATTAGAGAGAGCCGGCATTCCGATTGACAGTAAGGCGTCCATGAGTTTAATTCTCGATGCTACGAAGAAGTATCCTCCGTTTTTTACGAGCGAAAATACTTATCAAGAATTTCAAGTACAAAACATACATCTTTACAATCTTGACAAGAACATTTTTAAACATTAAAAAACAAAGAAATCGACATAATCAACAAAGTTGCTGCAGCATCAAGGCATCGAGCGACGAATATTTCGCGTCGCGCGAAATTTCCAGCGGAATTTCCGAAGGGGGAATGAGAGATTTTTAGATTTAAGATGCGCGATGTGGAGCAGAGTGCCAGATCGAGAAATCTCACCCCTTCACGGCGGGGAGGAAAGAGGGAGAGAAGGAACGAAGCAGGAACAACCGGCGCCTGCAGCTCGCGCGATGATTGCGCCGTAATCTGCTTTCGCTTTGCTTTCCCGAGGGAAAGGTCGGGGGTGGCTGTTGCCTGCCGCTGCGTGATTGGCCGGGGGCGTCGTTGGGTCTTCCGTTTCGACCGATACATCGACAACAGTCGAGATACTTAGGGAGGATACGCGAGCGAAATAGAGCTCAAGGAGAGAGAAACGTCGGTAGGGCGGTAGGGCGAGTCGTAGAGGAGAGAGAGAGAGAGAACGAGCGCGAGATGACGACGAGAGGCGCAGGAGAGGGTGGCGGCAAGGACGGAGGGGTGAAACAACCCTCCTGACACGGGTTATCCTATAAACGGTGCCACCCCCGCAGCAACGCACCGATAATCCGGCCCCCGGGGCCCGCATGCGGTTGAGCGCTCGCAACAGTTACCATATTTGATTGTGTACCCCCCACCTCCCGCCCCTCTGCCACCGGGGGTGGTAACACGAAATAATATTCCCTGCGCGCGCGAGGATTCCGCGTCCGCAGAAACACGTAATATTTTCTACGCGAGATCGCGCAACCGTCGTTGGTGAAGAGCTCATTCGGCTGCGATATTAACGTAACAGCAATTAATCGGCTTGGGGATGGTCGATCGATCCGATCGGCCGATGATATTTGCCTCGCCGAAGGTGTGAAGACAGAGCAAATTGTTGGATGTCGCGAAAAAGTTCTCAAAGGCGGACAGACGCGCGGGTTCACCCCGTCGCGCACCGCGGACAGTCGCGAATCTTCTCTCACGGCTGGCGAGAAAGCGGATTCTCGCGGGGCGAGAGCGGCGTATGTTTTAAATAAAAAATAGAGGGAACTGTTTTTCGCTGCGTCTGACGCACCCCGCGTCGCACAGAGCGTCGCGACGCGGTGCGGCGCGGTGTCGGCGGGAAAACGCAGGGAAAGAAATCGCGCGTTTGATGTGCCGCCAAAGAGAACGCGAGCGCGAGGGTAAGCAGGGGGGAGAATACGCCGTCGGTGGCGGAGTAGTTTCGCATGGGTTGGTCGGTCGACTGCAACCACGTTTCTGCGCAACCTCCTCTCGTATCCCTTTTCATCCCCTAGCTGCTCATTGCCCTTCTCTGTCTCTGTCTCTGTTTCTCTCTCTCTCCTCCCCCCCCCCTCTCTCTCTCTCTCTCTCTCTCTCTCTCTCTCTCTCTCGGTCGTTCTCTCGGTTTCACAGCGCATTTCTCTGTTCCTCCGCGTTTCGAAGGCCGCGCTTAAACGTTACCGGAAAATTATTACCGGAAAAGCGTTTCACACACGCATGTGGCGAACCGCGGGACCCACCGACGGAATTACATTGATATTAGTATCGTTTGGCCCGACAGATTAATTAATTAAAACGCTACCCCCGTACCGCCGCCTGTGGCCACTCCGCCTCCGCCACATACGTATTTGCGTTTCGCGCTAACGCTCCGACAAAGAGGAACAGAGAGAGAGAGAGAGAGAGAGAGAGAGAGAGAGAGAGAGAGAGAGAGAGAGAGAGAGAGAGAGAGAGAGAGAGAGAGGGGAAGAGGAAAAGAGAGGGAGAGGACGTTGGAATATCGTGCGCCAACAATTGCCGAAGGCTTTCAGCGTGTGTGTACACGAAAGTGTGGAACAAAAGCTCTAAACGCCACTTTAACCCGCAATCTCTCGCGATTCCGCTCAACGTCCGAGTATATCTGCTTATCTAACCGCGGCGGTGTTCCGCCGCGGTAACTGTTGCGAAACGTATTCCCTCAGCAGACTTACCTTTCTTCGCGTGGAGTATGTCCGCCGGGTCCGGCGGCAGGGACGAACAATGGCTCGGACTCAAACTGGACTGTATCGAGGAAAACGGGCTTCCCGCGCTCGACGGATACCTAAAGTGCAACGACCGCCTTTTAGCGAGTTTTGCCGCCGCGGCGAAGGACGAAATGCAATTTGCGCGATGAAACTATCACGCAAATCATCATTGCACGTGAAGAGAGAAGAGAGAAATATGAAAGCATGAAAAAGCCGAAAAAATCAGATGCGGGCGCGAAATGTAGCGCTCTCACGCGATAGCAAAGCACAAATTTCGCGCAAATAATACGTTCTTCTCGCGAGTCGCACTCGCCGATGAATGAATCTTTAGCTCTTACCAGGGATTGGGACGCGGCCAGCCGGTGGTCTGCCCGTTTAGTAGCCTGAGTTTATCGTAAACGCTCTCCGCCGGACTGCCGGCACCGACGCCAACCCCCACAGCGCCCACTCCTTGCTGCTGCTGTTGCTGCTGTTGCCTCTGTTCCTTCTGCGCGGCCAAATTCCTCAGTACCCTGTTGATCGAAGACACCTGCAAGCCAAACACGTCCGGCGCCGATGAGCAAGACTCGATGTAATTATGCGCGAGCGCACAGCTGGCGGTAACGCGCCCGCCGCGGCACCCTGCGCGTCTTCACCCTTTGATGGGCGCGCCCCGAATTCGTGAGACGTTCAACGGGAAGGGACGCGCACGGGGAGGAGTCTTTTTATGCGAGGAAAATGAAATATCAGGGAACAATGAGCTCGTGTAATTGCTGACCAACGGTCAGCCCCCCGACCGAGAAGATTCCATCGGAACGAAACTCGTTTGATCTGTCATTAACGAGAACTCGTTTAATTTCGCAGCCCGACGTTCCCTTCGCGCAAGTCTACGGAGCGCCGCTGCGTTCGAATCGTCTAATCACACCTCGCCGCACGGTCCAATTACTCTCCTTCTCGCGTGAGATTTTACGAACGGCTCGATCATACGCGTCGCGAAACTTTCACGCAGATTTCCCGCTTGCCGGCGTAGCGAATTTCCGGAGGACGCCTCTCGGAAGATCTCGAGCCGAGTGGCTCTCCCTCCCTCTCGCTCTCTCCCGGCGGTATCGGATTTATTATAAATACGAAGTGTGCGCGGGAGGGCGTACAATTGAAGATTCCGCGGCAAGTAGAGGGTGGGAAACGCGCGGGGCGCTTCTGCCCGATGAGATGCGACGAGAGCGGTAATTAAAACGATGCGGCGGGCGGCTGTCAGCGCGGCGTGGCGCGGCGCGGCTCGGCTCGGCTCGGCGCGGCGCGGCGCGGCGCGGCGCGACGGTGCGCGCCCGCTACACGAGGGAGTTAATTACCTCCGCCTTCAATTATATCCGTCTCCGCGCCACTCCAAGGGGACTTGGCTTCTGCCGACGTAAGTACGCACTCGCACTTTCGCGTCGTGTTCGCGTTCGCGTTTACGCTCGCGTTCGCGGCGCGGCGGATTAACGCTGCCGCACCGAAATCCGCGCTCGCGCCGTTGTAACTCTCAAGTGCGCGTCGCGACCGAAGCGCGCTGATAACACCACGGTGTGCATCGTCACATCGTCGCCCGATACGAGGATTCTTAGGCCGAGCTTTCTTAGGAAGCTTGCGGTACACTTGTACGATACGATCAAGTGGAAAATCATTGACGAGCGACATCGCTGTCTCTTGATTTTGTGTATCAATCTCCTCGGACGTTTCGATCGGTTTTTTTGTCACTTTTGCCTAGCGAAAGGCGCGAGTGAGTCCGCGTAGGAGCCGCGTTGTTCGATTTTTCAAAGGACGTTCCCTGTTAACTCGCTTCTTGCTGCCGCGGATAATTTCGTATACTTGACCGTGCTCGCGGTTTTCGAATGAGGGCAAAATTAAAAGTTGATATCTGCGCGCGACGTGACGCACGAACGACCCGGGTCTTTTGCGCGCGACACGTACAACGCGAATCCGAATGCGATGAAATATCTACGGGCGCGAAGAAGAATTTACGAGCTTCCCGAGACGGGGTCGCTCTTTTTATTTTCGTATCCTTTATTTGTCTTCTTCTGCGGGCTCTGCCTTCGTTGCTTCTGTCACTTACAGCTCGTATAAATCCCGACGGTGCCGTAAAAGAATTCTCACGAAACTCGAGCGATACGTCCTCCTGCTGCCGATAGTTCCGCAATTTATTCCCCCGCACCCTCCCTCGCATTATCCCACGCACGTCGCGTTGAGCGACGTCATTTTAAGGGCGCGATAAAACGTCGAGTGGAGAAATTCAAACTTACCCTCGTCGTTAAGAAGATCGAGAATAAGACGAGTACGCGAAAGCGTAATCCTCGATACTAAATTCACTCGACCGAGAAGCTAATATGGCCGATGCGAGATGTACCATCGCGTTTGAAAGCTGTACTAGTTGTGCACACGGGATGCCTGCTTTCGATCGTAATTCTAACGATAATTTCCCCGGCAAATTTCCAAACAAAGAAGATGTCTTACGATCTTTTCGTTAATGCTACCTCGGGCTTATTAAATCAGCCAAACAGCTAAAGTCATCATCACTAAATCCAGACACGAGGAACATTTCGTAGAGAGAAATTTGTCGTGATCATCATCGCGGTTACATTTGATCGCGCGCTCGCGAGCGCGGCGTATCGGTAGACGGAACGAGACACGCGCGAAATCGGACGCCGGCTGGCGACGGGACGCTGGATCGGTCATAGGAGATACTCGTTCCCCGGGGTTTGTTAGACCCGGTGTCAAGGTACCACGGCGTTGAAACGAGCTGACATCTCGGACCCACCACCGTAGCGGAGCGTCATCCCCCTCGGCGCCCACGAAGAGACCACGACCATCACCATCACCACCACCACCACCACCACCACCACCACCACCACCACCACCACCATCGCCGCCGCCGCCGCCACAGTCGCACGATCTTGTCGTGTCTCCGCCGCTGACGCGAAAGAGACGTCACCGGCACTCTCCCCTCGTCTTGTCCTCGACATCCACGGATGTCCAAAACATGCCTCCGAAGATTCAAACGTCGGACGTGTTTCGTCAGCGAATTAACGAAGCTCCGCGCGACGCGGAGGTGGGGAATCCGAAATAGATCGCGGGCGGGGTGACGGACGGCGAGATGAGTTTGAAAATGCTCAGGTCGCTCGCGCGATGGATCATCGCGCTTCGAGAAGAAATGTCGGAAATCTCTCCGAGGTCTGGCTGCTCGTCAGTCTCCTCGTCTCCCTCGTCGCCAGCCATGTCGGTAACTCACGATGGATGCCCGATATTTTCGACAATAATTCGTCTCATAATTAAAGAAACAAACGAAGCTGCGCACTCGAGTGCGTCCGGCCGGGGTTGCTCGCGTCTATACTCTGATTAACGCGCATCTGCGGCAGCGCGTCGGCAAATCCGCGCAATCTTGCCGATTAGACGCAGCAGCACCTCCTCCTCGGGCTTGATTCCAGGCCGCGCTTGTGAAGTTGGCCGATGTCAAAGCCGATTCCACAATGAAAAGTCGTTGTCGCGCACAAAGACGGCACTTGGCGACAAAGCCGGAACCCGGACGGCCGACGGCTGCCTGTCAAAGGACAATCGGCGCCTCGCGTGACATCGAGTGTCCGACGGCTGTTTGACCGTTTTTTGATTGACGTCGACCGCAAATATCGCGCTGCTCGCCGCGCTACACGACCGTTGCGCGCGATATATTTACGACGTGTGTCACCCCCGTCATTATTATTCCGCTGGAGAGATCGTTGCGCCTTGGAAATCGATACCACAATGGGCCCGCGCTTTTGTGGCCTGCGAGGCAGCCACTCGCGAAACTACCACGAGCTACAAGTACCGAGGAGACACTTCCTCCTTCGCCCGATCTCACCGAGACGGGCAGAAAGAACGAGAGCCGTGCGCATACCTATACAGCCGAGCTAGTCCCGCGTACGTTCCTCCGCATGAAATTTTAATGACAGTTTGTCAGCCTTCGGGGCTGACTTGTTCTTAACGGAAGAGTCTCGTCGGGTCTCGCGATACACGTAGCTTTCCCCTTTTACTTTTTATCTCTATTCCAGTCCAAGGGGACAAGGGGCTCAAGCGGCGGTCGTACACGAGATTTTAAGGAAACGCAAACGCGCGCGAGAGGAAAGATCAAGAATTAAATCGGCGTTGCCCGAAAGCGCCGAGGTTCCGCTCGAAAAGGATAACGCGGGGCGAGGACTCTGTCGCGCGTTTTATTAGCTCGTCGTCGACAATGGGGGTCCTCGACACATTTTTGCACGGTTGCACGTCGCGCGCGATGCGATACGCGAATAGCATAAAAGGAGCATAGATATTATCCTTTATCCGCGCGGTGCGCGCACAAAAGCGGACACGCGGCGAGGGCTTAAAACGCGGTGGGTGCGCGCTCGCGAGAGAGAGGGAGAGAAAGAGAGAGAGAGAGAGAGAGAGAGAGAGAGAGAGAGAGAGAGAGAGAGAGAGAGAGAGAGAGAAGGAAGAGAGGAAGAAGAGCCGAGGCATCGGATCGATGAAATTAGCATGAAGCGTGAAGAGCTCGAGGGTGGCCGAACTCTTAAAGAGGGTGCTGGATAGAGACGTCATAATATTGCTCTCACGTGGCAGCTAGGCGATAGTTACCGACGACAGGGGGGGGGGAGCTTTCCTGTCGCGAGGGCAACACGACACCGCCGTGTTCTTCCGGCAAACTTCGCATCCCGGAGAAAGAGAAGGAGAAAGAAAATCTTTCCGCGCGAATGTTGTGTCATCCGTCATTCGTAGTCTCGTCCTTCTTCAGCACGCGGCTGTTTACCGACTGCCAGACGGGGGGGGGGCGGACGGGGAAGGGGAGGGGGCGAGTTAATCTAGCGAGAGCGTCGAAATTAATTAATTTAACTTTGCTGACAAAAAATCAAGTTTCCGCCGCACCGGAGTTAACGATCTCTCGCGGTCGTCCGTCGCTGGCCGGCGCGCGCGCGTCGCTCTTTCACAGTTTGGAAAAATTACCGGACCCGTCTCTCGCCGTGGTATTTCGCTGAAATCCGCTCTCGCCGGCGCTCTCGCTAGAGGATTTTTAATCATCGCGGTGTAGAAGAGAGCGTCGTCGTGAGATATCACGAATGACGCGCAACCCCCCGCGTAATAGCGCGTATATTATCTCTTAACGCGCGCGAGCGCGAGTGCAATTTTTACGAGTGCTTATTCGCGGTAGTCGCGTATTTCCTGCCCCGGCACTCTCGTTCATATGTATGTATGAGTCGAGGGTGTTAACCGTGAAGCGAGCGGAAGAGCACGGGGGTGCCCCGACTTTCTCTCTGCTCCTCTCCATTCAGACTACTTCCGTTATCCTGGGGTTCTCCCGAACGAGCGTCATACAGCACGGCTTTATTATCGCGAAAACATCCTGGAGATAATGGCCGGGCCGATTCGACACGCGTAATCAGCAGCACTTCATAAAACTTATTCAAAGGTCGCGCGCTGCTCTCGGAGGCGATGCAAATGCAGCTGCGAGCGTTTCAGCGCTTCAAATACGCTCGCGAAGGGTGTGGCTGCTTTCTCGTTTGGAAA